TAAACCTATTTAGAATCAAATAGATATTTTGGTTTCATTAAATAAAAAATATAAATATGTAAGAAAATCATAACTTATAAGTTATAACAACCAAGAGTATTTAAAACAATTAATTACCTCGACATATTGAAAGGTGAACATAATGTTTTAAACATCTCATAAATTTTGGGACATTTTTTTGCTTCATGAATCAATGTTATTTTGTTACCCACTTTTTGTTTTTCAAGTTAAAAGTTGTAATTAAATGTATGTTTTAATGAACTAAAATGTGTGTAGTACTAATTATAATAACATATTACATAACTGGAAACCAGATAATGATATACTTAAATTTAAAAATACACAAGTATCATCGTGAGAGCCGAGAACACATCTGCCATATCTTTACCTACCAGTTTCTATGGTACTTGTGACACGTCATAAAATAATACTGTTATAATGTCTAATGTTTATTATTAATGATATTTGATGAAATTTCAAGTAGAAAAAATAATTTTTTTTATTAAGTACAGTAACAGGCAGGAGCCGCGTCCACAAAGGTTGCCTGGCCTACCGGGAAATTTCCTGGTATCCCAGTGGGCTAGTCCAACCCTGTTTACAAACATTATCAAGGTTTGTTCGTTCAGGGAATTTTTTTTTCTTTAGATAGTCATGGAAAAGCTACTCGTTTTATAATTAAGCTATTATGTTTTTTTTTTGGTGCTTTTCATTTATTTTTTCTGAAACGTATGTTTTTCTTAGCCAACCTTAATAATAAGATCCATACTAGCATGTATAACAAGATTCATACTAATATCCAACTTAACTAATAGCTAAGTTTAATAAGTTTTGTCATTCAAAGCACGCACTATTTTAGCATTTCCATTACAATAGTAATTTTAAACATTTTGTAAAAACCATTGTTAAAAATGGTCAGGGAAGTTCATTTTTCAAAAAAGTCAGGGAATTTTATATAAATATTTGGCTACGAACCCTGCTGGAAAAACATTTTTTTAATATGAACTTTTTTGTTTTACAGTGCAATCTGTATCTCAAACGTTAAGGAGAATTGTTTTGTGTCAATACCAGAAATTGAATGCACACCAACAAATTCCATAATTCATAAAAATATTATGAATTCATTAGCAAGTATATATTTGTACCAATAAAAATTTGCCCCTCTGTCTTTATTTTATTTGCTTTATTAGTAAATGTTGTATTTACTTTCATAAATTCTAAATGTTATATGTAATTTGTTGTACAGTTTCTTAAGAATATTATCAAATTTATTGTTTAAAGATAAAGTAGTATCCCCTAAGTTATGCAGGTATTATTGGCACAATAGGCAAGCATTAAAGTGTAACTTGGTGAACTACAAAATAAATCAAATTTAATTATATAAAAATTTGATTAACAAAGATATGCTAATTAATGATTTGCCTGAAAGTCTTTGCTATTAAAAGCAGTGGAGAATTTAAGTACTCTAGAAGAAAAAGACAAGAAAATACTTAAGCAAATGCTAAATGTTTTTTTAAGATCTGTTTATGCATTTTGTATGATATCTTTTCACAATTAATATACTTTAAACATATTACTCTTTAAAGGCTTTTGTACATGAGATTTTATATTAAATTGCTGATCTGACCCAGAAAAATACAGGTCTTTGTAAGTCTATTCCACACTGAACTTTTCTATACTTTTTCCTTATATATATATATATATATATATATATATATATATATATATATATATATATATATATATATATATATATATATATATATATATATATATATATATATATATATATATATATATATATATATATATATATATATATCCTAGCTTTCTGGACCCATAAATTATATGGGTCTTTAACAAATCTACCATTTCTATACTTATCTATTAATCTTGGACAATCCCTTATTTTAAAGTTTAGATAAAGGATCGGCCAAAAAGTATATGAAGCCAAAAAATAATGAAGTATAATACTACTTTGATGGTTATCTTAATTCTGTCGTTGTTATGCACTCAGTTTTAAATGTTTAATGGGGACGTGGTAAAATAGCTGTATTACTCTAAATTTTCTTATTGTATTAATATTAAATAACTTTAACTTTTAATTATTTTTAAAAGTAAATAGTATAATAAAATGTTTTAGTTTAAATATAAAATTAGAATTTTTAATTATATTTTTATAAAAAACATACTTTTTAAACTCCTGTACTGTTTTAAAAAAGTTAAAGTCACTGCTTGGCAAGTTCAAATCACCAGCATGCTATATTTTTTAATTTTTTTTATTTAAAATGCAAAACAAAAAAACTTTACAGTTCTATAGATTTTATATTCTATATATAAACATGTTGTATACTCATTTTTCTTGCACTAACTCAACTTAGTTGTAAAAAACTTGAAATGTAAAACTAAAATAAAATAAAGTCAATCTCAACCATGACACATACGTAACAAATATCCCTCCGCTTTTTATTTTTTTTAGAATTTTTAGCTTTTTTAAAAATCTTTTTGTTTGGTAAAGTGTATAAAATCATTAGATATGTTTATATATAATCTTTATAAAACTTCACAAGTATTTCAAAAATTTTTAAAAGTTAAAAATAAAAAGTCACCGGTGGTTGAATTTGAACCACAGCTTTCTTGCAAAGAAACTCAGCGCACTAACCACTCGGTTATTATATATTTATTTATTTCATACTGGCATGTTGGTCGTTGAAATTTTAAAACTATCTAAAATTTATTTTTAAACAAAAAAAATGCTACAGATCAAAAATTAAGAAGAGGTTTACGCAATGCAGTTTTTAAGTGAAAGTCAAACTATAAAACTTGATATATGTTTAAGTATGTTTTATATTACATAACTTGTTACATTTAACTTGTTTAATTTCACAAATATTTTTTAAAGATTCTAAAAGAATTAAAAAAAGAGTAGACAGGCCTTGGACTTGAACCACAGGTTTCTTGATCAGAAGTTCAGCGCGCTAACCGCTCGGCTATGCTGGCACTATGTTTATCGAAATTTTAAAACTGTATAAAAACTGTTTTTAAGGGATATAGATGCTAAAGATCAGAAATTAAGAAGAGGTTGATGCAATTATTTTTAAGTGAAAGTCCAACTGTAAAACTTGATATATAATTATGTTCTAAGATTACATAACATGAAGTTTATGTACGTACAATATAAGTTTCATGTTTGCTCATGTTTTCTTATAAAGCAAAGGTGAGACTCTTTCTTGTTAATACCTCGGTTGCAATAGCTGCCAAGGGTTTTGTCAAATACGCTCCAAGGGCCACTATTTTTATTAAAACTAAAACTATTAATAAAACTATTAAATTCAGCAAAAATATATAGAGATTTAAGTCTGACCAAAAGTAATTTTTATCATTGCCAGGTTCTATATTTTTGCAATTTAATTATTTGGAACAAAATAAAGTTAAAGACAAAGGAGATTGTATATGTTATTAACTAAGAATAATTTTTAAAAATGGCCTAGCTGTAAAATTAAACTATGCAGACGGAAGACAAAAAATTAAAATAGGAAAAATGTTGATTGCATATGTTGCTATTGGTAAATGGTTTAGAATTTTATTTTTTCAGTTTCAATTTTGCATTACACAATTATTTTAAATTAGATTCTTTGATGCATATTTAAACAAACAACTAATTTTTTTGCAGAAAGTCAAATAAGCATGGCTTATTTAATAGAGACAGTGGAAGAAAAGATGATAGTCGTGGGTACCAAATATCATTGCTAAAAATGATTCAATAAAAAGAAGCTCAGCCAATAATGAAACTCTCCATAAATTTTCTAGGGAATTTTTTTATTTAAAACTCGATGTGTTAGTTTTTGGTTTATGTTTGGTGTTTGCAATATTTATACTTAAGGGAGAAATTATGTAAATTAAACAAATTTTTATATATGTATCATACATTTTTGTTTTTCTTTATAAATTTCAATCTAGCAATGCATATCATCTATTTGTAACAATGATTTAATGTAGCATAAAATTCAGTATATAGTTAATTTATAATAACATTTGCCTAATGTTTTATACAATATTAGCTCAACCTTACATACGATATTAGTCCAATGTTGTATACAACGTTGCACCAATGTTGTATACAAAAATGTTGCATACAACATTGTTGGCCTAACATTGTTGTATACAATGTTGTATACAACATTGGCTTAACATTGTATACAATGTTGGGCCAACATTGAGTAAATGTATACAACATTGGGCAAGTTTTATACACAACGTTTGGCCAATATCTAACCAATTATCAAACCTGTATTGGGTCAACATTAAATTTTAATGTTTGGCTGATGAATCACCATGCATTGGCCCAACATTGGTCCGATGTATGCTTGCTGACTGGGATGGTTCATAATATAACAAAAATTGAATAGCTTTTTATCATGCTCTTGAGCAACATGTAAAAACTAATGTTAAATTAAACTCTTCTTGAATTAAAAGTAGCAACAGAATTGCTCTCGATGTTGAGTATACTCTTCTATATTCAAAAATTTATTTCATGTAGGTTTAAATTTAGAATAAAATTTGCACACTGTTTAACAAGCTGTATGGAACCTTTTTTCTATAAAAATAGAACAGAGTTTTTATAAAATTGAAAAAATATATATTTTTTTTGATTTTATTAACACTCTTTTCTATTTTCTAAATTAAAAAAAAAAAGGTAATATGCATCTAAAATGCTTAAATGTTCTGAGACCACCCTTAGTTTTACCCTTTAGCTTCAATTATGACTCTTAGCACTTTGTTCTGATTTTAAAAAAACTATTTTCTTTTGTTACAAGACAAACACTATTTAATAAAAAAAAATTTCATTTGAGTGACACAACATAAAACCTGGCAGTATCTTTGGCTACCAGTGTGCAACATTTTTATATGTATTTGTGCAAATATATACATATACAAATTGTCTGTTTCCGTTTAAACAAGAAACATTATTGTATAAACTTTTAACATATTTTTTTACTTACTTGATTATTGAACATTGTTTAGTTATACACATATATATTTGCCAGATGTTTATTAGCAGTTCAAAACCTAATTAAAAAAGTAAATATTAGCTTTTAATTAAATATAATATTTAATTAAAAGATTACTTTAAAAAAAAAAGTTTTAAACAACAGAAAACTATAAGAAACCAATTTACAACTAAAAATATGTACAAAAAAGTTTAATAAAAATGAATATGTAAGAAATATATATGCAAACTTAAAAATTTTAAATAAAATTTAGTCTTAGCACAATTTAAGTAATTTAATCACTTAAATCATGTAAAAATTAATTTTATATTTTATTTTATAATTTTGTATTTAATAGTTGATCTTTAACCAAAAGCAAATATGGTTAAAACAAGACCGAAATAATTAAAAAAAACTTTTGTTGGTAACCTAAATCAAAATTACCTTCAAGTAGCATATCAATCTTAGTAGATTAATTTTATTAGATATTTCAGACATCTTTTTTTTTATGCAGGAGAGCAAAATAATAAATTAAATTAAAATAATAAAACAAATTTTTTGTTCTGTTTCTATGTGCATTTATTAACTAAAAAATCATTATTGCATTTAAAAACATTATTATTAATTATGCTTTAGACAGAATTTTTGTAAAAAAAAAAAAAAAAAAAAGTTTCTGGAAACCAAGTTCTTATGTTTTTATCTATCATGTTTTCAGTGTTATGAACTAAGTGTTAACTTGTTTACAACTATATAACAGAATATATGTTTTACTACTAAATTCAAACTTTGATAATTGTCAGAACTCTGCAACAATTCTGGTAAGATAATATGCCTTTAATTATTTTTCTTTATATTTATGTCTTTAATTCTACTTCTAAATTTTTAACAAAAGTCAAAAAGTAAAGTTAATGATACAAAATCTAGAAATAAACTGCCTAACATTATGCATATGCATGTTTTTTAATGTAAATTATATTTAATAGTATAAAGATTCTAAAGTTTTTGTTGAAAAGACCATTCCAGAAACGATTAGTAAACTTAAAATAAAGCAATATTTGATAAAGAAAGCAAAAGCACTGCAAGATATTGTAACTAACATAAAAAATACTAAAAAAACTTTAGGTGATTTTTGTCAACTTTAATGATAATGATAGTAACAGAATTATATAAATTTTGAAATTAAGATTGAAAATAAAAATGCATAATAATAAATGACATAAATAAAAACCAATACATAATAAATATATAAAATAACCAATATATAACAAATAACCAATAAAAATCAATATAAAATCTTTAGCAAATTTTATCTACACAATATAATGCTGTTTTGTAAGTTCATATAAGTAATTTGCTAACATTTCTAAACACTTATCGGCTGTTTTTGTTTACAATGAATATTTATTAGCCTTCAACCATTCAGTGATTAAAGATTAGCTATTAATGATTGATGATTAAAGATGCAATACAGTTATTTGATTCATTTTTAATTTCAGTTATTTGATTCAGGTCTAATGATTTAATCAGATCTACTGATTTCAGAAGAAAAAAAAAGTGAAATTTACACAAATATTATTGATGTACTTTAATTAGTATTACATATTGTAATACAAAGTATGTATATATATAAAAGTATTTCATAATTAGTACTGGAAAATAAATGAAGAAAAAAAAAGTGAAATTTACACAAATATTATTGATGTACTTTAATTAGTATTACATATTGTAATACAAAGTATGTATATATATAAAAGTATTTCATAATTAGTACTGGAAAATAAGTCATGAAGTCTGAATGAGCACATTTTTTAACATACACATGAACATCATTCAAGAAACATTATTCCTTTTTTTTATTTATTTTATGGAAGAATATAAGATAAAATGTAAAATTATTTGTACCATCTCAGTTTATTTGCAACACAATACAAACTTATTTGTTTGTTTTATTAATGGAGTAGTAAAATATATTATAGGAGTTGATACTTTACTTCAACCATTGCATTTATTTTATTGATGGTGCAAATTAACTATGAAAAAACTAAAAAAATATATCTAACTTATGTCATCATAAGCAAGAGCATGAGGTATCTGCTAAACATAGTCCTAAAATGCATTGAAAACATAGTTGGACCAGCTTCAATAATAATTCCAGGAACAAGAAACTACCATTGTTTTATAACTCAATCATTAGCTTTATGATTTATTTGTTTTAAACTTTTGTAGTTATTTAGCAAAAATTGATTTAAAAGTATATTTATTTAAATGACTCAATGTTTATATTGACTATTTGTTACATTATATTTATTACATAATAAACTTTTGCATTGTGATGACAAGTCAAATAACTATTATAACTTGGTTTAAGTTAAAGTATTATTATTAGATACAATCTAAGATTATTCATGATAATGAAATAAAAGATAAATAAAATTAATCAAATAAAATTAGACGGGTGGAATAGTGAAGTGATAGGGAAAAATGTTAAAAAATTTATAGTCAAGATATAAAATAGTAAGGAAATTAGACAAAAGTCTTTCTCTTCATTGTTCCCTAATAAGCTACTAGTAAGTTTTGTATGCAGTCTATTTAATATCTAACTTTACAAAATCACAGTTTTATATATATGCATGTTCAATACAGTGTTTGTGCATGAAAACACTTATAAAATCATAAGTGTTTTCATGCACAAATGAAAAGATTTACCTTAAACAGTGTGTCTGATATAAAATCAGACACACTGTTTAAGGTGAAGTTTTTAAAAACTGATAAAATTATTCAAGAGAGATGTTCTCTTAAGATAAGACTTTTAAAATACATGAATAACTCATTTTGTGAAAATTTCAATGTTTTGCCTTGGTAACTTCATAATAAGTACCTACAATTTTTTTTACTGAAATTATTTTAATAAAGTCTATAAGTAAAAAAAATATCACTAAATCGGTGTTGATCATAGGTTACCAGTAGTTTGAAGTGAAGGCATAACTTTTTAAGTGTAAACCAAAGCCGAGTCCACAATTTCTTACTGAGTCAGATTTATCAACAAATTAGGAAGCCTACCATTAATAAAAACTAAATAAATATGTCTTTTCACTTCTTGTTATTGCTGATTTTGTATATTAATGTTTTTGCTATTAATGTTTGTTTTTTTGGGTGGAAAATCTGAAATTTCAAATGAACATATATCATGAACCACAAAAAAGTTTTATGACAAAATTTTAAGGAACTGCTTGTCTTATTTATATAAACCAACTCACCAAGTATCATCAAAATCTGAGGTAGTCCATGTTGAAAGGCTCCTAAAAGTTCGGTCTATTATAGCCCACAAGGTCACTGCACCCTATCCTGGTATTATTAATTGTCTTGACTGTAATTATTGTACCAGTTTAAAATTTATTTATAAAGTAAGAAAGCATACTTTATCAAACAATTACCTGTCGAAACAGAACTGGGAGAATCTTTTCAAAAATTTAGACACCAATGAATGCTACCAAATCTTCTGAAATATCTACTATAAAGGCTGTCTTTAGATAATATATGATGCAGAAGATTTAAAATGCATCTCTTTTAAGCAAAAGATTTACTATGCATATTTTCTATAGTAAATGTTTTAATAATGCAAAAGATTTACAATCCATCTTTTAAAAAACTTTTTTAAACAAAAAATAATAAAAATTTTCAATTTTAAAACATTTTTAAACAAAAAAAATTAAACTTTATTTTTAAAAATGGGAAAATAACCTCCCTGGCTAATGAGTACAACCTAGTCAAGAATAAGAATAATCCAAATGAGATTTCGCCTAACATTAACACCAAACATTTTTCAAATGTGGCTTGGCTCATAGCTAATGTAACTTTTGATCAAAAATGGCTCTGATATTGACCTAACAAACTACAAACCAATTTTATTCACCTCTGTACCATGTAATGGAAATAATATTTTATTGTTTTTTCCATAAATGGAAAAAGTGGTTGAAGAAAAAGTTGCCCATTACTAAGAATCTTCTCTCCTTATGTCAACATGGACTTGGCATAATGTCTATTTTTATAAAACAACACAATAGATCCTCCTTGATAAGGTTTCCTTGAAATAGGAACAGGTTACTAGTAGCATTCCACAAGGCTCAGTTCTTGGTCTAACACTGTTTAAAATCTATATCAATGACCTACCAAAACACATTGGCAGCAAAAGCATTTGTAAAATGTATGCTGATGACACAAATGTAGTTAACACTTGGAAAGTAAAATGTCTGCAAGCTAATATTAATAATATTATTAATCGGGTTCAAATATGGCTTATGCAACTTAACATAAAAATATGTAAACTTATGAACATCAACCAGACCAATTATTTTGCCTATATCTATTTGATTGATGAAAATCACTCAATTAACATAGCCAAAAAAATCCAGCTAGAATCAACAACATTGAAAAAGACCTTGGTGCTTAACTTTCTGATTATTTAAAAATACAAGCATCAAGCATTCAGCGCTGCTGCTAAGGCAAATAAAATTTCAGGTATTTTAAAGCAAACCTTTGTAAGCAGACAATTGAAAATCTAGAAAAATATCTATACAACTTATGTCTAAACCTTTTTAGAACATGTTATCACGGTCTATCTAGAATATATTAAAATAGACATTAAGTTCCCTTGCCTTAAAAAGACAATAAAGTAACAAAAACAATTCATAATCACGTCACAAAAAATGAAACGTTTTGACAAGACAAGATGTGCTAAAATTAGCCTAACTTCACTTAGTAATAAAATAAAGCATGCTGACCTTGTCCACAAATTCAAATTTAAATATAGCACATTAAAAATAGTAATGGTAATTGAACAATTATCTACTCCTATCTATGGTTATCACAAACACCGCATTTATATAACTTATTTAACAATCAAGTCGCAATCAATTTTAACTCTTCACAAGATGAGGTTGCAAATGCCTCTAATATACATAATTTCAAAAATAAACTAGATCATCACACTTTATACTTACCACAGCTCATTTACTACATTATTTCCCAAGGACTATATATGATTTAGTGTAGCTATATAATCTAACTAATGATGAGTTCAAGGTTTAATTCTGTTTCAGTCAGTTTGAGTTATTTAGATTCATTATGATAAAATCTAAACATTTACAGTCAAATTCAATAGTACATTTGAAGTTTGCTATTGCTTGTAGTTTATCACTTATCAAAAAGGCAAAAAAATGTCAAAACTATCTTGATATTCTCAGAAAATTTCATACAAAAAACTTTTGAGCAATTCATTACCAGAACAAACATTACACTGTGTAAACATGCAAGTTTTTGTTTTCACTAAAGAAACAGTATTGAAAATAAATTTCTAAATTTACATAAACTTACATTTACAAAAAAAAGTAATGCATTTAATTTAGTATTTTGGTTATAAGTACCCAAATGCCAAAATATAAAATAAATGCAACCAGAACAGAAAAACACTTTATACAAATGAATTTCTAAAAGTATCTATTTACTTACTTGTTTATTGAACATATCTTAGTTGTTTCTTTTCTGCTTAGTTCTTTTCTTCCTTTACTACTACTTATACTTGATAGATTTTCAATAAACCAAAATCTAATCAAAAAAACAAAAATCAGTTTTAAAATAATTAATATAAAGCTAAATCCTTAATAAACTTGTTTATTCTAAACTTAAGTGAAACTTATAAAAATTTAACATTTTTTAATAAACACAATGCAACATCAAACATTGTAACACAGTATAAAAAATAGAGAAGACTGAGATAACATTGTTCCAATTTAAATAAAATTGATTATTTAAATTAGAACAATGCTGTAGCATTGTTCCAATTTTATTTAAAACTCTGTAGAACACTGTGACCCCACTGTGACACTGTGACCCACATCTAGACTTGTTGGCACGATTTTTTAATTTTTTTTTTCTTAGTCAATACCTTTTTTTCTTCTTTTTCTTTGAGTCGCTTAACAGCATTTACAAATTGAAGTTGTTTTTTTTCGCATTTTCCTCTTTCCTATTGAATTTTGTCTTGGTGATATTTTAGCTTTTTTACAAAAGATTTTTTATATAAAAGTGTGAATAATAGAACTTAAGTTTTTTGCTATAAGGGCCCTAAATTAAAAAAAAAAAAAGGTTAAATTAAACTCCCTCAGGTATTGAATATCTGTACTAATCTACTTTTATTTCTATTCCTTTCATATTGGTGAAAAAAAGGCTGACACCTTTTAAACTTAAACAAATAAAAATATTTGAGTACACTAGTAACTTTGAAAACCAGTATTTTTTATGTAAATATATTTAATGCAAAACTTTTTTTTTTTTTTGGGGGGGGGGTGTCTCCTTTTTTAACTTTAGAACCATATTCATCTTAACATCATTTTAACCTTAGTTTCATGTTCGTACTAGCACAAAAACAATGCTTTAAATAGTCAAAAAACAGTCATCTAATTTACAATAGGAACAAAACAGTCATCTACTCTACAATAAAAGATGAGAGGCTATATTTTTTGCTTTGCATTTAAGCAGAGGTTTAGAAATTATTATTTTTAATTTATCTTGAAAACCTAATATATTCTTAAAAAGAGTTTAATCTATCTTTTTTTTTATAAAATATTTAATCTATCTTAAAAACCTAACTACTTACTTACCTAACCTAATTTATCATCTTGAAAACCTAAATATTTTAAATCATCTTCAAAAATAAATATTTTTCTGATGCAAACAAATTTGATTCATTTATAATTATTCTGTCATCAACTGTTACTATTTAATTTATCATATAGTGCAATATCGAGCAAGCGTAGTTAACATTAAAAATTATATAAAATATTTTTGTATCACAAAAATAATTATTGTTGAAGATGACTGGTTAAATTGATCTAATCAATTTAGCCAGTTTAGTGGCTCAATACTGCATTCATTTAAATACTTTTACTTTTTAGATACAGGGATACTATAGTGGAACTCAAAACTCTACAAAAATACAATTATATTTGAATTACTTGTTGCAGCAACAACTTGATCTTCCATCCAAGATTTTTAAAATACTGTCAAAAAAAGTAAATTTTAGCATTACTACATCAACAGGTATATGATTGCTGTTGCAAGAAGAGATAAAGTTTAGATTTTTTGACAAATTCGAGGTGCAAATTTATTTATAACATCTTACTGTTGGGTGTAAATTGTATTTAAGAATATCAGTAAATTGTATATACGAAGACAATGTATTTATGAATACATTTGTCAATCCTTGCTCTTGCAACGGATAATAATGTTTTGTAAGGAATTAATGAAATAAGGGGACAATAGCTATCAATAGTTTTGTGATCATTTTTATAAACTATTACACAGATCAACTTGATTTGAAGTTGAATTGAAACTGGCCTAAAATCATGCTTTATAAATAGGATTTAGTGATTTAAAATTAGACAAAATTAACTCAAATCTAATATCATCAGGCCTAATGTTTCTAAATTTCTTTAAAATTTTTAACAATCAATTCATTTAATTTAGGCAATTGACTTTATCAATCGTGTATTCATTAGTCATTTGCTTCATTAAGTTAAAAAAAAAAAAGTTTCATACTGTTTTTGTTTTGTTTTTTTTGCAAAAAATACATTAAAAATACATTTTTTCTGTCAAACTTTTCAAAACAACATCAAAAAAGCTATCTTTTTTGGATCTACTTAAATTTGAGTTTGAAGACATCATTTTTTAATCAGGAATGCATAATAATATAGTAAAACTACAACTATTTTACATTAAATAAACGCTCTATTGGCTATTGCATTTATCACCTAAAAGATTGTTGTGACTATAGACACTTTTAAAAAAAGAAATTTGAAAAACCTATATTTATGATTTACAGTAATAGTGAGCTGTCAAGTCACTATTACTCTTATTAGTATTGTTACTGATAAGGCATTCTCTGCAACTAATTCTTTACTGATCTTTAAAGTGAAAATTCAGTAAAAAAATTTGTTACTGATAACTCTTAATCAGTAAGAATACTAATAACAGTAATAGTTAGCTGACAACTTATTATCAATACTTTTAGTATTGTTAATAAAAAGGGTTTTTTATCAACTGAAGTTAGGTATCTAACTGATAACTTTGAACAGCCAGTACCAATAAACATCTTCACTCCATCAATAGTGATATCTTTAGACCATCATCCAAAAAATGATATAGCAGCACAAGTCAAACAAAATAGTTTAAAACAAACATATAAAACAAACACTAAATTTTAAATAACCAAGTAAATTTAATTTTGATCTTTTTTTAAACCTTATAGTATATGGTTTAAAATAAGATCAAAATTAAATGTTATATAAGTTATAAATATAAGTTAAGATATACATGTAGTAAAAAATATATTTAAAATATGTAAAACACAGTAATGCTGTGCTTCTATGTAACACAATGTATGACATTCTAATACTTATTTGTATTTAAAATTTTTGTGTCATATTCGTAACAGTAAGCAATAATTAAAAGTGAGAAAATTTAAAGAGCCAAAAAAAACCATCTTCACAGTCATTTGAAAAAAAAGAAGCTAACAAGCTACTTTTGACACTTTTTATTTCAATTATTTGATTCAACAAATGTATTTTATGTATACTCGGGTAGGTCAAAAAATTAATCTATTTATTACATATATTTTGTAACTTAAACTTGGATTTAATTATACAAAGGAGAATTTAGAACAGGAATGCTCCTTTTAACTATATAAAACCCAGATGGCATGTTTTGAAACTGAGAAATACGCAAGCTGATTCGCTGATTTTAAAAGAGACGCATTCGCGCGCTTGTAAAAACTAAAAATCAAAACAAACCGATGGTTTGACCATGGATGGAAGTGCAACGCTTAAAAACATCAAAGGTTCCGAATACCGTCACCATGCGTGAAATATAAATAATCGGATATTCTTAAAAAATGGCGTCTATCTGTTAATTTAAATTATAAGTTAATTATGTTTTAAACGGATACCTCATGCTTGTATAAATAAAAATTAGCTTAGAAGTCAGCTGGAATGTTGCCGAATAGTTAAAAAAAGTTTATTTGTTTTTTCAATGTTTAAAATACCTCATAAAATACATATTAGCACCATTTATCCCCATTCATCTCCTTTCATTAAACTTTAAGTTCCTCTCAAAATCAAAATTTTTCAAATTTGACGGCTCCATTTAATTTTATTTGTCTCGATAAACACGCATCAATGACAATAATAATATAGGTTCATTACTTTGCAAAAAAACTTTTGTACTTTAATGTATAATTGGTAAATTTCAGTTAAAGTTATATATATTTTAAAATTATGTATAAATAAAATTATATGCATATATAATTTTATAAATGTATATAAAATATATTTATTTAAAACTATATTACAATTTTATTTTTTTATATTATATAAAAAACTGATAATTTATATATATATATATATATATATATATATATATATATATATATATATATATATATATATATATATATATATATATATATATATATATATATATATATATATATATATAAATGTGACAGCAACTGTGACACTAAGAATCCTTCGAAAGTACTATAAGTTTAAGTTATTGTTATTTATGTTTAAGTAATAAAAATTTACTTAAACATAAATTAGAAAAAAATTATAAATGTTGATTTTAGATTGAGTTTTATATTCCAATAATATTGCAACTTCAAATTTTTTTTCAAAAATCTTTATTTCAAACTTATATTTTAAAAGATATCTCAATAGGATGCTTGCATTGTAAAACAGAAAATATAAGAAATTAGTAAATTATGAAGAATATTCTTTTGTTTTGTGAAAAATATAGACCACTAAATGGATTTTTTTGACGGTTGTACCTCTTTTAGTGAGGTTTCATATCTTATTTAAATTCTTCTATCCATATTTAAATGCGATTTTTGTTTGGAACTAAAATAATAGTTTTGAAAAAAAGTAAAACAAAAAGTGTAAAAGGCAAAACAAAAAATCTGATTTTCAAAATAAATAATTTTAGAAATTATTTTAAAAAATTAGCAAGCAAATATGATCAACTCTATCATAGTGTAAATCAGCTGATTAAATAAGATAAGCTGATCTTTGGTGTTAATACTCACAAAGTTTTAAGGGAATGTCTTCTGGCGTTGTAACCCATTTAGTTCCAAGATTGTGTTTAAGCATTTGCCTAATATGTCCTGAGACATACAAACATAAGCAAGTCAGAATTTATTTATCTTCTTTGTAAAAATACTTTTTTCGAAGCACATAAATTTTATCAATCTAGGATGTGGTATAATACTGATGTTATTCTAAGAATAATTTTAAATGGAAGTATTAAAAATTTATAAGACCATGAAAAATTTTTTTTTTGGTGTTTGATAAGATGAAAATCAAGAGTTTTCTTGTATTCAATACAACCAAAAAGGTTGATCTAATTGAAATGGGATTTTTAAATGGCACTTTTGATGAGTTTAAAAATATAATTAAAAGTTTGGCAAAATATGTCATTGTTTATAAGAGGGAAGTTTTCATACTTTTGATATGCATTTGGACTTTTTTCTTCTAGTAACTTTTAAAAGATTCTAAAGTACTACTAACATATTTTTAAAAAAAAACATTTTATGGCAGCAGATAATGTTTATACAAGTTTTTAATTCTTTATAGAATTATAAGGACTTTTTTATCTTTATAAATTTTGTTGTTGTTTAATAACAAAATTTTGGAACATTTTGAAACTCTCATATTGGAACCAAAATTCTCAAAATCTAGTAGTAAGTTTTATGATTACAATAATGATGATGATCTGGCAATGATTGTCTTTATTATGAGGATGGTGGTGATGACAATCATGATGACCATCTTGTTTTTTTTTTTATTTTAAATAAAATGATTTTATGAATCTTAAAATTTTAATTCATTAAAACATTTTTTAGGTTAAAAGTTAAACCACGTGATGTGATGACATGGTTACATTAAATGTATATGATTAGGATCTTAGCATGTTTTATGATGATATTAGTCTTAAACTCAGAGAAGGACGTATTCAATATATTCACAGTCAAAATTGATTCTAAATTTGCAGAAGGAAGGGTGAATACTTTTTTAAATCAAAAAGAGTAAAAAGTGTTTTCTTTAATAGTTCTGATATTTGTATTTTTTAGGTTTGAATATTGTTGGTGATCGACTTATTTATGGAAATTATCATGGAAGAATGTAGAAAATTTGAAAAGTTAATACTACTGACAAACTCAATTCTGCCAATAAAAAAAACCACACCAATATGTTCATAATCAAAATTGAATAATTATGACTTGAGCTATAATTATCTATTTTATTTCATAATTTATATGTATATTTAAAAGTTAGCTTTTGTTAAACAATTTTAGTAAAGAAATTTAAATAGAATTTTCCGGTTTTGCTTTTTATTGTTGTCTATCTTGTTTTTTATTGTGCATCTTTATTAGCTGATTCTTAAAACAAAATTTTTGATAAATATTTGCTTCCACCTCATTAATGTGTTCTAAATAGTAAAATAACACTGGGTTTAAAAATATTTTGAATAAAAAATATTTTTTTAAATATACTTAGGTCTGTGTCAAAAAGACCTTTTGAACATTTAATGGCTTCTTGATATTATTAAAAAAAAAATTATTAAGATTTAAAATTTCGACTTTTCGAGCCAATTATTAGCAGTGGCGGATTAAGACTTCTTGGGGCCCGGGGCTATTTTTGTTTTTGGAGGCCTTTTTATGGACTAGAGCCTTTAAAATTTTTGGAGGCCCCTAAACTTGCGGGGCCCGGGGCTATAGCCACCTTTTCCCCTTGATCCGGCACTGATTATTAAAGTTAATATAAATTTATAAGAAATCAAAGAAATTTCTCTAATTTGCCCCAATTTGAAACAAACTAATTTTAAGAAGCTTTTTTTTTTCAAAAAAATGCAATTAATGACAATCTTCTGCTTTATTTTTATCTATTTGGTTTTAAATAGTATAGTTTGATAAAATTAGTATTTACCTCCTTTCCTTGTAGACCTTTTTTTACATCAAAGCAAATTTTTATTATAAAATTGCTGCAACAAATTAAAATTTTTAAACAGATATCAGTTTTCATCAAGATATTTTTAGCGTTTGAAAGATTAGTCCATATAAAAAAACTAAGAACTGCCAATTAAGTATGGGCAGGACGGTTTTTAATTCGTTTTTTTTTTTTTGTTTCTACTTAAATCCAGTGGCGTAGTGAGGTGGGATGGGAATCACATTTTATGGGACAGCAGATTAATGAAAATAATTAATTACAAAAAAGTCGAGAAAATGGCTTTGGTTTCTCCATAAAAAGAATCGCTTCAGAGAAAGGGAACGAAAAATCGACCATTTGCGGTGATCGGACTTCTGCGGTGATGGTCGGTTATCAGCTAACCGTAGCGGTCGATGATTGCGGTGATGCATTGGCGGTGACAGCGGTTAGAGATGTGCGGTGATTGTCGGTTAGCGGTTTTCAGACCATCACTGCGAATGGATTTTTCGTTCCCTACTTCAGAGTTTTATTTTATTTTGATATGCTTGAGAAATAAATACTTCATTAAAGTATAGCTGCATTTAAATTTTCTTGTAAGATCTCTATGCGACTGACATTTGCCTTTATGAAGCTAACGATAGATTTTCCTTTATAATTATCTTTAAATCTTTTCTTTTTTCTACTTCCAGCTTCTTTTTATAAAAATTAAGTCTGTTCATAATTGCCCCAAAATATATTGAAATGAGGATCAAGAAACATCAGTGAGTTTTGAAATGTCAACTTCCGACAACGATTTCTAAAAATTTTATCGATTTTAAACTTGCTAACTCATTTTAATTTAATAACAGTAATAACCAATATTTATTACCCGTTACAATTAAACAACATCGCATTAGTTTCTGTGTGAAAAAAAAATTTAAAGTAAATTTAAAAAATAAGTTTTCGCATATGCAAAAAATATACTTAAATAGTTCTTGAATAATTTAGAATATGATTTCTGCATACAAAATAAACGAAGTTAATTACGTGATACAAAAAGGAGTTTTAGTTAAAAACATATGTTTTGTTAAATGGGGGCACTTAAAAATAACTGGGCACTTAAATTTGTTTTTTGTTTTTTTATAGTTTTGATCAATTTTAAATTACTTTATTGTTAATTTAAATTTATAATCAGAGTAAAATGAGAAGACCGATAGGACTTTTTTTTTTTTTTTTTTTATCACCTTCCCAAGGCCAAGAAGGCCACTACAGACAAGGAGACTACTTAATTGTTGTTATACTTCTGGGAGCACCTAAACAACATTAAAAATAAAAATAAAATTAAACTCTAATTAAAGTAAAATTTAAACCTTTTTTAGAACTTTTTATATATGTATATATTATATATTATATAAAATAGTATTTTTTTGGAGACTGCATAAACTTGATGCACAAAACAATTATTATTATTTTCATTATTATATATATATTTTTAATATCAAAACACAATATAAACATTTGCAAGGTGAACCTGAAATTCTTTTTATCGAAAAAATTTGACTGATTTATCGAAAAAATTTGATTTAGCTAGTTTATTTTTTACATACTTCAGAAGCGCCGTCCGACTTTAGTGAAATTGTTTACGACTTTTTTTTTGTATTATGGACAAAAGATTTCACGCATGGTTTTAGGAATTTTATTATTGAAATTCCTAAAACCATGCGTGAAATCTTTTGTTCATAATACAACGTTATTGCAATAACGTTGCACATCCATCTATAATACTTTTTATGTATGTATTTAAGTATAAGCCATTAAATAAAACCACTAATAAACTGTAGATATTTGAGACACAAAGGTTTAACAGCTCTTTTAGTTTTTCTTGCACAATGAAATAACAAGCATTACGACTTTGTAAATCTGTAATTATTTTGTAATTTCAAATTATTTTTGCAAAACAGAATAATACATTTCCTCCAATACATATGAAAATAGAGCATTAGGGCAAAAGTTACGCACTAAAAATCGTATATGTTACTCTAATATTTTCAGAACAATAAAACTAATAATCTTTTATTTACTCTCCTAATCTAAATAAAGATTTTGTTAACAAACATTGGTATCATTATCAAAAAATAAATTAAGAAACGGAATAACGCGCTGAACAAAAACATTCTCAAATGAAATTTGAGAATTTCAATCTCATATGAAATTTTTACCGCGTATAGACACGTGTCTGAACGCGATGGCAGCAAGAACTTCAGTATAGATCGCCGTGGTCAAGGCCGACGCGAAAGGGGTGTGTGGGGAGTGTGACACCCCCTCCCCATCAATGATTTTTAGTCGGCAAACTGGACCCTTAGTCGGCAAATTGGACCTAGTTAGTCGGCAAATGTGGACCCTTTCGATATAGGTTAGACAGTCGGCAAATGTCGTCATGACAGTCGGCAAATTTTTGAAAACGAGGACCTTTTTTTTTTTTTTAGTCGGCAAAAGTTGTAATGGCACCCCCCACGTGACACCTACTCGCGCCGGCCCTGGCCGTGGTACCACAGCGATCTATACTGAAGGCCTTGCTATCTCGCAAACAGCTTAGTTGACTAGGGGCCTATTTTTTTTAACGGCGAAAACAAAACAAAAATGTGCTTAGTAATTTTATGTTAACTCAATGAACTTTTTACTCTCAATTTGTCAAACTCTTTTTCCAATGGATCAGTAAAAAACTCACTAAGAATGACATATTGGTGTGAGCTATTCAATAATGATCGACATAATTCAACAACACCATTGCACGTAAATTGATTGTGCAGTGTCACAAGTAAGTTATTTCTTCCTTTTACCTTGCTTTCCAGCCATCTTTAAAGCCATCCCAGCAAGCACATAACGTTATTTCAACGTTCTTTCAAAGTTGCGAAATGGTTGATATATGGTTGAAAAATAACGATCTAAATTTCAACGTTATTTCAACGTTAGTTCAACGTTAAAAAAAAAGCGTCAAAATTTCAACGTTTTTTTTATTTTCAACTAAAAACAAACTTTGATTTAACGTTGAAAAATAAACGTTGAAATAACGTTGAAATTAGGTTGAAATTTAGATGGAGTTTGCCGACGCAATTGTACTAATAATTTGGAATTTAATAAAATTTAATATTTCACATATGCGTGAAATAGTTCTTTAAAAACTTTTAATTTAATAATAAACTTTTAATGTAATAAAAGCGAAAACATTAAAAAAAATTTTTGCTTTGAAAATATGTATAATTTTACAAAAATTTATAAGAATTGGCAATATACACAAGTTTTTTAAAAGTCTTTTTACATTGTGTACAATACCTTAATTTGCATATTTTATATAAAAATGGTGGATTAAAGATGAATAAATCATTTAAAGATATAGGTACCTATATATAGTTACGTGAGTTAATTTTTTATAATTGAGTATATACTAGAACGTTATATATCATTAGAAGGCCCTTCAATAAAGTATTTTAATGGTGAAAAAATTATTAAAAACGAACATTAAAAAAAAAGTTATGACGTTTTTAGATATATGGATTTCTTGAAGAAACTAGTTCCAAAATTTATTTATTTTTCACTGAAATTGTTATAACTTTGTCAAATCTTATCCAAATGCCTATACCTTGGTATCAAAAGATAGATTTAAGAGTAGGCTACAATTTCATATAGTTCTATAGATAAAAGGGGTGTCTAGAGGGCCAAAGGGGTATCGGAACACTATCGTAACCTTAAAAAAATACAAGTTTTTCACACGAAAGAGTATTTTTCTTATAAAATTTTTTATCTTTATACACAAAAAGTTGTTCTAAATTGCTTCCATTACGTTTCCAAATATTAGTGGTATATTTTAGATTAAAATATACCACTAAATTAGGGTGGATGTCTTTGTTACGTTTTAACACCCTCGTAGTGAAATGTTACCATCTTATAAGTATTTAAACCTAAAAAACACTGATTATATTTTGTGTTAAAAAGTTTAAATTATATTTTTTTACATAACAGCATATACAAGTGGTGCATAAATTGACATTAGGGGCGGGACGATGCCACCCTTAACGCCCCTCACCCCCTTCCTCTCAGTCTTCTCCAACCTAAAAAAAAATTTTACAAGATATTTTAAAATTGTTTCAAACTGAGTTTATTTAAAAAGAGAAATTAGTATTCAAGATTATTTTACCATGTAAGTGAGGGGAGGGGTGTGTGCTAC